GGATCTTTATATTATCCATTTATTTATACACGTATTTGTTCATTCAAGAAATATTTGTTAACTTCAAACACATCCTGCCAGAGACTAGGTAAATAATATTAGAAAATACAGATACAACCATGTCCTCCTGGAGTTTACAGTCTAGAGAATTTTTTTTTTTGGTTTGCTTTTTAGAAAAGAGACTTCAGGTCCTGAAATTACAGTTATTCCTATAAGGAAGGACATATATTTCTATAGGTACAGAATGGGATGACATGGCACGTGGAAAGTTAGAATACTGGAAAGAATGTTAGAGAAAACAAAGTCGTAACGAGGTGTCAAGTACTTAAAGGGAGCTTGGGTGGAGAAAAACTATTATTCTAGATCAGCGGTTCTCAACCTTCCTAATGCCGCAATGTATTTTCGTTGTGAAAAAGGGGGCAACCCACAGGTTGAGAACTGTTGTTCTAGATGGTGATCCTATGGAGGAAGATGATTACCACACGTTACCAATTATCCACAAGAATCACTTCATCTTTAACCAATCAGCTCATTCCCACCTCCTTTTCGAAGAGCATATTTTTCTTTTTCACTTGAACTCTCACACTTACATATTAAATTATGTAAGTCCCCAAATTACAGATCCTCAAAAGGTCACTGTATCTACGTAGGAGAGGCAGGTACAAATTACATAAGAAAATATACCAGCATTACTGATTTTATAGCAGTGACACTATATTGCAAATTTTGTGTCTGGATGTATGTGTGTGTCATTTAACACAATAAAAACTTATTTGTCGCTTTTAGTTCAAGGTAGGTCAACAAGGTGGTTCAGCCTTGGTAGTCGGTCATCCAGAGACCCTGCTGAAAGAATGATTGGTCTTGATAGTGAAATAACAGAAAAATTAGTAACTTAATTTTCAGTAAAGGCTAAAAATCAATCTCTCTCTCTGTTTCCCTGCTAGCTAGCTGGCAGCCTCCCTACTGGTAGCTCTGTTTTCAATACATCTAAAAGGAACCCAGCTGATAAAAAGGAAACGTAAATCTTTCTTTTTACATTCACCAGCTCACTACTTATGAGAACCTGTTTAATAGGCTTGGAGTTCCTGGACGAACAATACAGGGCCTTAGACAGGGCCTTAGACCCTGTCCCAAGTCATATCTCAGGGGAGAACCAACTACGGGACCAGAAAACACCTGTGATAAGTCTGTCTCCAATGGCTGCTTATCCTCCAGACATTAAGAGGATAGAAGGAGCAGACAGAACAACTTCACAGTACCCTGCGAGCTGGGGTGCAATCACGTCTTTCTTTTCAAGCATCTTTAAATTCAGCAGCCACTTGGTCTCGGTGCTGGCATTTTTCCTTTCTTCGGGACGCCATGCTCTCTCTTTCCTCATTCTCTTTCACTATCCTCTCTCCTTCTAAGAAAATAAAATAAGTTTTATACTTTTATGTCCTAATTTTGGTGTGGAGAAATCTTTTCTCAATCCACAGAGCACCTACTGAGCTTCCACCCTAACACTTGCCCCCACCTATTGTCGGTTGATGTCTTTGGCGTTTAGCTGGTGGATGCAGAGAGAGAAAGCCGAGAAGGCACTAGTGCTTTTAACCACCTTGGCCTGGAGGTGGCACTGTTGCTCCCATTCTCTGCTCTTTGTAAAGAACTGGCTCTATTGCTCCATCTAGATGCAAAGAGTGGTGGAAAATGTTGCTTAGCTGCGTACTTAAGCAGACCATAAGTTGGGTGAGAAGCTAGTTCATCTGTTTCATTCTCCTGATTTAAAAAAAAATGGATATCATATCTCCTGCCTCATAAAGTTGTTTTGAGAGAACAAATAGTTAATTCATCAAAGGGCTTAGCACAGTGCCTGATCCATAGTATGGAGGTCAATAAACACAGCAAGTACTTTTGACATCTATAAAAAAATTTCCACTCAGAACTGATATCCTCATGGCATTCTTTTCCTTAACATCTTTCAATAGCTTTGTTATTTTTTTAAATAAAAGTTAAATTATTTACTGGCTCCTGCCTTCATTGCTAGTCTCTTTCCCCACTATTGCTCCTTCACTCCCACAATCATCTGTAACTTGCCTTTCTTTTTTATTTTTTTTATTTTTGAGACAGAGCCTCAAGCTGTCCCCCTGGGCAGAGTGCCGTGGCATTACAGCTCACAGCAACCTCCAACTCCTGGGCTCAAGCGAGTCTCCTGCCTCCGCCTCCCAAGTAGCTGGGATCACAGGTGCCCGCCACAACGCCCGGCTATTTTTCGGTTGCAGCCGTCATTGTTGTTTGGTGGGTCCGGGCTGGGGATTCCAACCCGCCACCTTAGGTGTACGTGGCTGGCGCCTTAGCTGGTTGAGATATAGACGCCGAGCCTGTAACTGGCCTTTCTACGGTTCTCAGAACAATCCTTATCCCACTGCAGGGCCCGTGGCTCCCTCCACTGCTATGCTTGTGCCCCAGCACTTCACATGGGTGGTTCATTCTCATCCTTCAGGTCTTACTTGAGATATCACTTCCTCAGAGGGGTCTGTCCTGACTATCCTTTCAAAACAGGCTTCCTCCATCACATATACTCTTATTATTATTTTTTTTTTTTTGCAGTTTTTGGCCAGGGCTGGGTTTGAACCTGCCACCTCTGGCATATGGGGCTGGCGCCCTACTCCTTTGAGCCACAGGTGCTGCCCATAGTCTTATTTTTATTATCACAATCTGTAATGCTCTTCTTTGTTTACTTGTTTATTGTCTTTCTTTTCCATCAGAACTCTTGGCTTCTGAGGGCCAGAGGCTTTGTGTGTTTGCCACTCTCATTATTTTTGCAATGAGAGCTGAGCAAAGCGTGCAGTAGGGGTTAAATACTTGATGACTGATGAATAGAAGAATAAATTGAAGATAAAGTAGAGATCTTCTTTGTTGGGCCCTTCACCTTTCCTAGCAACATATTCACACTTCCCTATATTATTTCCATATCCCACTCTAGGTAGTGTTCTAGCTCTAGCTTTCCCTCTCAGCCACAGTCTGCACCCAATGCCACCTCCCTTCTTCACTCTTGAACACTTCTTTCTCTGGATTCTGCTCCTCTCTACCATCCCACAGAAACTATTATTGTTAGGGGCAACTTACCAAATCCAAAGCCTACTTCTCAGTCTTTATTTTACCTCTCTCGTCTGCTTGACACTATAAGTACCCCTCTCTTCCTGAAACTCTTCTGCTTTAACTTCATCCCCTTATAGACACCAGTGGTTCTCAAATGGGGACAATTTTGCTGGGGGGAGAGGTGCCACTGGCATCTAGTGGGTACAAGCCAGGGATGCTGCTAAACACCCTATAATGCACAGGACAGCTCCTCTACACCTTTAGCTAAGAATGAGCTGTCCCAAAATGTAAAACCTAAGAAACCCTGGTCTATAGGTTGTCCTATAAGACATTTCATGAACAACATGGCCATATTCAAAACTACATCATCATCTCCATTTTCACCTATTCTCTTGTTGCTTGTTTTCCCTAATCTGATTAATGGCACTAGTCTTATAAATCAGTATCTTGGGAATCATTTTAAATTCCTCTCTCTCCCTCACCAGGCCCATCTATTAGTCACTACTTCCTTTTTGATTCTATCAGCTAAATATTATTAATTCTTTCTTTCTTTTCAGCCACCACTGCCTTTGTATTAGTGTAGACATCATTTAGTTGCAATACTCTCCTAAATGGGTTTGCTGCTTTGAGTCTTACAGACATGTCTGTCCCAGGCTCTTTAGATAATCTTTCTAAACCGGAAGCCCAATCACATTTCTCTCATTGCCCACAAGATAAAAGATGAGCTCCAAGGTCTGGTTTACCATGCATACCATGTGTTTTTTAAACTACAGATCCGTGTTCAGTCATTATTCTTCCCAATCGCCTAATAAAAATGTAAGCAAACAAAACCTCAACAAAACAAGACAAAAAGCTGATGCTTCACACTTCTATTTATTGGTCATGATGTTTGTCCTTTTTGGAAGTCCTCCCTAGTAGGTCCCCAACCAGGTCCTTCTGAAAATTTCTCCTGGAAAATCATGACTTTCCAATTCTGTGCATGCACACATTTCTGTTGGGACTTACACATACCATACAGGCATAAAATCCTCAAATTGAAATGTCTAAGTAATATATATTTTTTCCACTTAGATTTAAAAATGTTGAATTTTCCATTGATGAGGTGGAAAAAAGATCCCAATTTAATTCATGATCCTCTCTCCTTGCACCTTGGTTATAATTAAATTCTCTTGAGAATCTTTCACAGAATCTTCCCCGTCTGGAGTCCTGCTACCTACTCCAGACCAGCTGAAATGCAGACATTAGGCCAACCCTCTGGGACCCAGAAGTATTCCCTTTCTCTTAATCGTATCAATATTTTACTTCAGAAGCATTTTCTGTGTTGTGAAATTTTTGTCTCAGAGTCATTTAATACTTTAATTGATCTAGATTTTTAATGGTTTAGTCACAGAAAAGCCAATATCTCAAATTCTGTTAAGTCCTATCCCATCCCCATTCTTGAGGCAGAATGAAAAAGAGTGGTGAGAAACCCCTGAATCTAACAACTTACTGGATACACCTGAGGAGCTTTTAAAACTAAAGATGTTTACACCCCCAACTCTATAGCATCAGACCTTTTTTTTTTGGCGATCACAGAAGATCAAGATCAAATTTTTGAAACCCACAAGGGCTGGCTTGGGGCGGGACCTCACTACCTTTACTAGCTTGGCCTTCCTCTCCTCCGTCTCCTTTGGCTCAGCCCTCTCGCAGGGCTGGGTTTGAACCTGCCACCTCTGGCATATGGGGCTGGCGCCCTACTCCTTTGAGCCACAGGTGCCGAGCCTAGGCCCCGCCGGCTCCGTTTGCCGCCCTCCGCCCCGCCCCGCCCCGCCCCGCCCCGCCGGCTCCGTTTGCCGCCCTCCGCCCCGCCCCGCCCATCTCCTCTCGGCTCCGCCCCCCTCTTTCTTTCTTTAGGTCCCTCTTCAGCATCCGTACGGAGTTTGCGGCGTCCGTGGTCTCAGTCGTCACGTTTACTTTGCGCCGGAAGGAGAGCCTGCGAACGCTTTTGGAATTATGGCGGCGGTGGACATTCGAGGTACGTTGTGTTGCTGTACTTTGATGATTGTGAACTAGTTTGGGGGTTTGTAGCCCGCGGGTTCAAGTTTAGGTTCCTGTGTGCGGCCCTTCAAGCTCTTCCGACTGGTTTCTGTAGATGACCTAGGGCTCTAATCTAGCGAAAAGTTCCCGAGTTTTTCCTAGTTTGAGGGGTGTCTCTTAGAAGCGTTGGAGGTTGGAAGAAGAGCTGGGCACTGAGCCCTTAGACCTGCAATGTTTTTCTGTACACCTTTCTGCGGCAATATTGTGGCTTTTCTATCGAGGAGAAGGAACGGTCTTTGGGTAGAAAGGCGAAAGGGGTAATGAGCCGACTTGATTAGATACATCTCTTGGGACTTGGCGTGGAGAGTCTACCTAATCCTTGAGATCGCGCCCTACAGGTCCCTGCGCAAGAATCCCTAGGGCTTTCTATTGTGAGTTTTATGTTGGGGTAGATAATACAACCTATCGGATCCCTAACAATTACTAAGGGAACGCGGAGGTCGTTTCTTTTTCATGGCTAGACTGTAGAGGTGGTCAAATATAATGTTTATTGAGTTCGTCAGGGAATAAATATATGGAGTTGCTACCCATTAACTGCTCCTTGATCTTAGGTAGCATGTAGGGTGGTTTTTATTTGTATATGCAGTACTTGATTTTTAAGTGGAAGTGTTTGAGATGACTTTTTCTATATTAACCCATTTGGAGTCTAGCTGTACTTGTGTCAACATGCTGCCTTGCTACTGAATTAAAAGAGACACACACTTAGTGCCTTTTTAGACTACTATTTTCAGATATTTAGCTGTGTTAATGTTTTACTTTTTATTTAGATTTGTTTAGGATCATAGCAAAGGCTCTAAGATGAGAGTGTGTTCCCTGTGTTAAGGGAACAGCAAGGAGGACAGTACAGCTGGAGAGAAGATGTAGGAAGGAGATGAGGTCAGAGAGGCAGTGTAGGCCATGGAAAGGTCTTTGGCTTTTTTTTTTTTTTTTTGAGTAAAATGAGGAGCTGTTGGAGGGTTTTGACAAAAGGAATGATAAAAATCTGACTTTAGTTTTATTAGGACCACGTTGGCCACTGAGAAAACTGTGGGAGGGAAAGGAAAACTGTGGAGGGAAACTAGATAGGAGGCCATTTCTTTTCTTTTTGAGACAGGAGCCTCAAGCTATCCCCCCTGGGTAGAGTGCTGTGGCATCACAATTCACAGCAACCTCCAACTCCTGGGCTCAAGTGAGTCTCCTGCCTCAGCCTCCCAAGTAGCTGGGACCACAGGCACCCGCCACAGCACCTGGCTATTTTTTGGTTGCAGCCATCATTGTTGTTTTGGCGGGCCTGGCTGGATTAGAACCCACCACCTAGGTGTATGTGGCTGGCACGTTAGCCACTTGAGCCACAGGTGCCGAGCCTAGAGGCCATTTCTATAATGCATGGAGAGATTTGGAGGTATCTTGGAATAAGTTGGGAAAGCAGAGATGGTGAGAACTGATTAGAACATACTTGATTTGGTTGTGTGGTCTCTTTATGGGGCAGTGGTAACAGGTAATCTTCAAGTAGGACAGATATTATGTTCAATTTCACAGCCATAGATCATACTCTTAATTGCAGTTAACCATTTTCTACATGAACATTCTTGAATACTGGAATCTGTGTAAATGGATTGGTAAAAATTAATGGCTAATAGAATAAGCCATGCTGTACTGTCCTCAGCTCTCAATCATGAATTAACAAACATTTGCTAGTTATTATGAATCAGGTCCTGTGCTAGTTTTGATGAGTAAAGAAAGATACAGCCCCAGTTTTTAAAAAACTCTTGATTTAAGGAACCCGTTTGTATTTCTGAGTCTGACATGATAATATGCAAGAAAGCAATGATAAGACAATATAAAAGTTACAATAAAGGTATGAATAAATGTGTTATGAGAGCACGAACATATACCTTATATTTTTATGCCTCTGAATATGCATTCTCTCTGGTTGAGTTTACTTTGATCTTCTCAGTGGCGAGCCTCTATTCCTTTTTTTTTTTTTTAAAAAGTGCTATATAGTATAGTATAGTATAGCTATAGTATTCTGTTTATTCTTTAACATACGGTGCTAAAATCCACTTTCTCCATGAAAAATCATTTCCATTCCCCCAGGTAAAGTATTCTGTCCCCTCCTTTGTGCTGTCATAAGACATTTATTCATACCTTTATTGTAACTTTTTTATATTGTGTTATCATTGCTTTCTTGCATAGTTATATTTTCTGTTATACCATGAGAATATATGTAGGTTATTATCCATGACATCCTTTTATTCTTAGTACCTGTGCAATTAGGGACATAATAAATGTTTGTGGATTGGATTCTCTTTTTCTAATCCTTTATTATTTTGTTTCTTTCCTATAGATAATCTGCTGGGAATCTCTTGGGTCGACAGCTCTTGGATCCCCATTTTGAACAGTGGTAGTGTCCTGGATTACTTTTCAGAAAGAAGTAATCCTTTTTATGACAGAACATGTAATAATGAAGTGGTCAAAATGCAGAGGCTAACGTTAGAACACTTGAAGTAAGTTATTAGAAGAAGGTATCGGGCGGCGCCTGTGGCTTAAAGGAGTAGGGTGCTGGCCCCATATGCCGGAGGTGATGGGTTCAAACCCAGCCCTGGCCAAAAACTGAAGGAAAAAAAAAAAAGAAGGTATCATTGTTTCCAACTAGAGATTTTACAATGAATCATTTTTTCAAGCTGTGGCTTATGAAGGGCAGAGTAGAACTTGTGGAAGAATAATTGGAGTTTTGTTTGGGTTTGTCCAAATTTGAAAATGAGGGAATTATTAGTAGTCACTTGTAACTTAGAAGACTCTTGTGTGACTACATAATGTCCTCTGTATCTACTTTTATTACGAAAGTATCTGAAATAACTGTTCATATAATTTTTCTTGGTCAGCTAAATTTCAAGGGGGGTCTTGAAATTGAGTATCTGTGGTATTTTAAATGGCTTTTGTTATGGAGCAAATACAGCTTTTCAGACAACTTATTTTTGCTTTTAAAGATATCTTGGGTGGCACCTGTGGCTCAAAGGAGTGGGGCGCTGGCTGCGTATGCCGGAGGTGGCGGGTTCAAACAGCCCTGGCCAAAAACTGCAAAAAAAAAAAAAAAAAATTCTTATCTTTCAGGCCAGATTTTCATTCAGATTTGTTAGGGTCAGGAAAAGATTTTGTGATGTTTCCAACTTTGGTAGAATACATAGGTCTTCATTTTTATTTTTATTTTTTCTATGTGGATTTATAAATCTTTTCAGTCAGGAAGCGTCTTGGTGTTTTGATATTCTTTTTGACATAGACAGTCTCAGTGTACTTTCCTGGCTGAAAATACTCGCTTGAGTTCTCAAGGAATTTTTGTAGAGAAACTTAGTTGTTTTTAAAACAAAATCTTTCTTTATCTGTATACCACGTATCTGGGAAAATAGCTGTTTTTATTCAGTGGACAGATTTTAACACCAAACATAGGCCGTTTTAATACATTTACATTGTTACACTTGTATATAGTAATTTGAATGTCCAACAACGTTATTTGTAGGGCATTTATAGATCTCTGGATGTCTGCATTCTGTTTTCAGTCAGATGGTTGGAGTCGAATACATCCTTTTACACGCTCAAGAGCCCATTCTTTTTATCATACGGAAGCAACAGCGGCAGTCCCCTGCTCAAGGTAAAATGTGTAAACTTTTTTTTTTTTTTCTCAAAATATCATGATTGGTTTACTTCCTGGCCTCTGTGTGTGTGTGTATGTGTGTAATATATATAAAAGAGAGTGCCAAGGAGAAAAACTGAAAGGAAAAAAATTGTATGAAATTTGTAATATCTGAGTCACATTTGACTTCTGCAATTACAAGAAGTGCTCAAATGTGACTTGTATTCATCTTGTTATCAGTATATATTGAGTATTACAGTTTTAATATAGTGTTTTCTGTTCTTAAAATGTGTATACTTTTTTTGGCACTCTCTGTATATAGGTCTCAGCATATGGTTATACTTAAGGCTAGGATTTGTTAGGGCAGCACAGTAAGGGCATGCAGCCGGATTAGTAATGGAAGAAGATGTATCACATGGGGTCTTGAGGAAACCATATGCAAGTTTCCTGTGCTTTCCCTCTTGTGAGGGGCCATGCTGAGTGTACCCTCCATCCAGTATTGAAATGCAGCCATCCTCGTACAATATGTTTATATGTTTGTTCAGGGAAGTACAGTTGAGACTTGCATCCAGGATTTTTTTTATTGAGGACTGGTTGTGCAGGCTTCCTCTGCCCACCTAAATTCCAGACTCCAGAAGGAAATCACATGTTCATGTAATCACATAGTTTGTACAAATTGTCTGGGGCAGGCTGGTATAGTAGGCATAACTATTACCTTTTCAGAGCTGTGTTTCACTAAATGTGTGCTTAGACAACAGGACTCTTCCATCTTGTCCAGGGACAACTCTTCAAGCTCTAGCAATCAGAGCAACTCACTCATCTCAAACCAACATCTTTTTGTAAGCACAGTTGGGCTTCCAAGTAAACTTCAAGCATCCCAAGGAATTTTTCTTCTCATCTTGGGTTCACTGGGTTAATCCTATTACAAAATATATGTCCTGTGAAATTCATAGAGGATCAATTAAAATTCCTTACTGAGGCATTCAACCAAAAGCTTACCTGAGTTATACTACCAAACGAAGAAAACATGCTTTAGAAATACCACTGAAGAGTAAAGAAGAATCTAGATTTGGTTTTGAATCAAAGAGCTAGACAACTATTCTAGACATGACCAGAACTTAGAAGACACTTTAGAATCAAGCCAGAACCATAGACAAAGTCACACTGAAGATTCAAGGTAGAGAAGCCAGATACTGTCATCCCAGCTCCATCTCAGGTAGATAGTCTTATCAGCACATTTAGGAACAACCTTTACCCTCTGCTAGCTTCAGGGAGTGACTTGGCAAAGAAGTTGTGATTCCAGAATCCAAATTTAGTTTGAAAATTGAAGATCTGTGGAGTCTGCCTAGAGAAAAGAAAACTTCAAAACAGAGGCAAGTCCAGGGACAGGATTTTCATGGTGAGAAAATTCAAAGTATAGAAGCAACACAAGATGGTACCAGCTTTACTAGCAGCTGTCTTGTTCCTTAGGTCCCAGACTAGAGCACAGAGGCAAGTTTGGTTCATGTAGTAACATTATGCTGGGCCCCAAGTCTGGCTTGCCTTAAGGTTTACTTCCCAAAGTATGGTTGACTGACATTAACAACAGCATCTTTTGTGAACTTGTTAGAAATGTACTATCCCTACTGAATAAAAATCTGATTTTTAACAGGATCCTTAAGTGGTTCAGGTGCATATTTAAGTTTAAGAAGAACTGCTATAGGGCAAGGGTGGGCATACTTTTTCTGTGAAGGGCCAGTGAGTAAATACTTTAGGGCAGCTTTGTGGGCCTCTTAGTTTCTATTATTGCTGAAGCAACCATAGGTAAAATGTAAATCATTTAGTGTGGCTATTTTCTAATACAACTTTATTTATAAAAATAGGAATCACTAAACTCTGCCTTAAGGTCTAATATGGGAAAATGCCAATTTTTTATGTGGGTAGTTATTCCTTTTATGAAAATTTGTTGAGCAGCTCATGTCCATAGCTGTATTCACAAACATTTTTCCCCATTGTTTTAGTTATCCCACTAGCTGATTACTATATCATTGCTGGAGTGATCTATCAGGCACCAGACTTGGGATCAGTCATAAATTCTAGAGTGGTAAGTGTCTTCACATTCTTTAAACACTAAAGAAAACTTTTAATTGAGCTGTTGATCCCAAGAATTAACCAGGAACACTTCTGCCCTGTGAAAGTTACTATGAAGTGTTGACTATTAGAATGTCTTAAGCATTAGTTACTATGAGCTAAATAAGAAATTACTATCTGTGCATATATTATATTTTGTGAATACTTCAGAAATTGTGACTCAGTGAGAAATTGAGAATTCATTTTCTTTTCACAAGCTCACTGCAGTGCATGGTATTCAGTCAGCTTTCGATGAAGCTGTGTCATACTGTCGATACCATCCTTCCAAAGGGTATTGGTGGCACTTCAAAGACCATGAAGAGCAAGGTAGGCAGAGCACCTAGACCCTCCTAAAACACTTTTTAGTTCTTTGAGAATGAAACTGTTTTCTTCAGTAAAATGCCTATTGATATTTTTACTGTCACCCTAGCTGTTTTCTAGGTTATGTTTCACCTTTTCATAGCAGGAGGACGTTGTTGTAGCTGTGATTGATGCAAATAGATGTGGTAATAATAGCTTTCACAGAGGGACAGTTATAAGTTTAATCTGTTAGTTAACAGATATTCTTTGTTAGGGTGATTCAAGGTTTTAAACTATTTAGAACATAAAGAGGACAAAATGATGAGGAATGAGCAAAGATGATATTTCCTACTTACCTAACTATTGAATCATCTTGGAATCTGGACCCTTTTCTTCCTCCTGTCTTCAACATAGAGGAGACAAAGGATTACTTAGAGCCCTATATCCAAGTGACAAGTCTATTTTCTGATCCTTCCATGTTATCACCTATTATAGCATTGGATTTCTGGAGTTGCCATGGCTGGTAATCTACTACTATCTTCATATTTTACCAATAAAACTACCTCCAGAAATGGATCTGTAACAGTATACCTACATTTTTTATCTGAGAAATGAGCAACTCAAAGTAAATTACTGGTAGAGAGATAGCCTTTTTTTTTTTTTTCTTGTAGAGACAGAGACTCACTTTATCACCCTGGATAGAGTGCCGTGGTGTCACAGCTCACAGCAACCTCCAACTCCTGGGCTTAGACAATTCTCCTGCTTCAGCCTCCCGAGTAGCTGGGACTACAGGCACCCACCACAGCACCCGGCTATTTTTTTGAACCCACCACCCTTGGTATATGGGGCTGGCACCCTACTCACTGAGCCACAGGTGCCACCCTAAGACAGCCTTTTTATGGAATTCAGACCTGCGAAATGTTCTTTCAAGTATAGTTATATTCATTCCTAAAAGTAGGTGTATGCATTAACATTTGATGTAGCAAAGTTTTCCTTAGTTGAATAAAAACAGCTATTTTCCTTTACCCTAATGAAATGTTTGGAGTAGCCCTTATGTGGAACCTTTCATTTAGAGACAGTTCCCCAGTATACCTTCCTCCCAAGAGCAAATCTCACATATAATTAACTTTAGAATTTCTCTTTCAGGTTCTTTCTTTTCTTTTCTTTTTTTTTTTTTCCTTCAGAGTTTCAAGCTATTGCCCTGGGTAGAGTGCTGTGGCATCATAACTCATAGCAACCTCAAACTTCTGGGTTTACGCAGTTCTTTTGCCTCAGCTTCCCAAGTAGCTTACAGGCACCAGCCACAATGCCCGGCCATTTTTTGGTTGTAGTTGTCATTGTTTGGGAACCCAGGCTGGATTTGAACCCGCCACCTCTGGCGTATGTGGCTGATGCCCTAGCTGTGGAGCTACAGGCGCCGAGCCAGGTTCTTTTCTTTCTTGTTTTCACGATCTTCTGTTTGGTTGTGTTTTTCAGTGAATTACTTTTTTAATGATTAAGCATGGTAATTTGAATTTGTGAAAGCTGTATTTTCCCTTTGCTCCTAGCAGGTTTTGTGGGAAAGACTATTTAATACATTTAAAGTATAGGAAAGATATTTTCACACTAAAAAGTAGGATTGTGATTTAGGTTAATTATGAAAAACTTGAGGCTTAAAACTCTTATATCCATCCATGCTTACATACCATAACTGAAGTATCTTTAAAAGACGTATGTATCAGCTTTTTTAAATGTTAAAATGTGTAAGTGTTAAATGTTAGAATTTAACTTAAGAGGGAGAGTATGATGTATATATGTTATTTAGTTTAGTTGGGGAATTAGCTTTGGTATAGCAGCCAGATAATGAAATTTGGTTATGTTCATGGTTGATAAAGATTTGTAAAATACAAGACATCAAATTAGGCAATGCTTTGATTTGGATTTCATTTTTTAATAGATAAAGTTAAACCTAAAGCCAAAAGGAAAGAAGAACCAAGCTCTATTTTTCAGAGACAACGTGTGGATGCTTTACTTGTAGACCTCAGACAAAAATTTCCACCCAGATTTGTGCAGGTAATGAGAAAGTGTCTGGTTAATTTTGATTTGATATCTTTTCCTGGCACATATATTCATTTTTAATTGAGAATGGTTTTAGTTGTGACCCAAAAGTATTGGTTTTCCTCATTAGTTAAAAAAAGATCTCTGAATCAGAGAAGTTTTGAAAGACTTGATGGGGGAAATGGAATGAACCCTATTCTTTGTTCCTTATTGAATCTTTGCAATCTTTGAGGACTGCATGTAGTAGACAATTTCATTCAAAAGGTGTCTAAAAGTATCACAGGTGGTAACAAAACTAGAATATGAAACTCATGCTCCTTTTACTCTTCATGCTGCCTTCTGGCATGATGTAGTTATAAATGATAGGAAAGTTAAAACATAACAGAGGAATAGAACAATTGACATGATGTTTGGCATAATTAACAGAGGAGGCAGGACTAATAGTAGAGTTATATCATATTGATGTTAATGTTATATGAATTCCATTATGTGATTTGAAGGGGTGAGGGATTTCCAACAGCAGTAGCAAATCTGTCTGCCACTGAGGTTTTGAAATGAAGCAGTATGAGCTGGAGTATATGAATATGCTGTTTTTAGGGTTAGTCTTAGTTCTTATGAACCTTTACAGGGCTGTGTATACACAAGATCATATTTACTGTTTTTCTTAGGAGGTCTCTAAGAATTTTTGAGGGCAGTTTTAAATTAAATGAGATTTTTCACACCTTGAAATGACTTTAGAACAGGCTGCTACTTCCCTCTTCCCTAACTCTAGGAGAAAAATTTACTATTGGAATGGTGATGCAGTAGTGAGCGGAGCAGAGGTCATAAGCAGGAGCTCAAGACTAGAAAGCCAGTTTAGAGAAATCTCATGAATTGCACTTGAAGATGGACAGTATGTTGAGTGAATGAATAAATAACATAAATAAATGAAGAGAGCTGTGTGTAGAATGATGGGTAACCACTGCAGAATGTAAGAGGTTAGGTGTTGTTGACCATTCATTGAGTACATAGTTTTACTAGATGTGCCAGGGGAGGAATACCTAGACTTGCACTGTTTAGTAACCCCTGGGCACATGTGACTATTGAGCATTTAACCAGCTAGTCTAGATTGAGTTACGATGTAAATGCAGAATACATACTGTATTTCAAAGACTTGTACAAGAAAGATTGTATGTAAACTATTTCTTTAATAATTTAAAAACATAGATTATATGTTGATAGAATATTTTAGATGTATTTGGCTAAATATATCTAAATACATTTGTCTATTCTTTTTAAAAGTGTGACTAGAAATATATCAATTTCAAATATAACTTGCATTTGTGGCTCACATTGCTTTTGAACAGTGCTGATCTAGAAAGTAGTAGTAGAACATTCAAAACTGGAAATGTGAAAGAGTTAGTGAACGTGTGTTCAGAAACCAGAAAATATTCTGAGGGTTTGTGAAACGGGAAGCATAATGGAAGATGAGACTTAAAGATGGATTAAGGTCAGATTGAGAAGGATTTTGTATGCTATGCAAAGGAGTTTGAATTTAATTCTGTAGGCCAGTGTTTCTTCAATATTTTAAACTTACAGTTGATTACCACTCCCATAAACATAATAGGCTTTAGATGCTTTCGAAGTTATTTGAAGTTTTAAAGCAATAGCTATCATCACTAAGAATAACCAAAGCAGTGTTAAATTTTATGTATTCTTTTTCAAGTATGTACTCTCACAGAGTATATTCTCACTGAAATACCCTCCACCTCATCTTCAGGTGACTAAGTAAGAATTACTGCTATGGGCTTGGCGCCTATAGCTCAACCGGCTAAGGCGCCAGCCACGTACACCTAAGGTGGCGGGTTCGAATCCCCAGCCCGGACCCGCCAAACAACAATGACGGCTGCAACCAAAAAATAGCTGGGCGTTGTGGTGGGCGCCTGTGGTCCCAGCTACTTGGGAGGCGGAGGCAGGAGACTCGCTTGAGCCCAGGAGTTGGAGGTTGCTGTGAGCTGTAATGCCAGGGCACTCTATCCAGGGGGACAGCTTGAGGCTCTGTCTCAAAAAAAAAAAAAAAAAAAAAAAAAAGACTGCTATGGCAGTAAGGATTAGAGCAGAGGTTCTCAACCTGTGGGTTGCCACCCCTTTGGACTGAATTAAAGGTTCGTGGCATTAGGAAGGTTGAAAAGCATTAGAGGTTTAAAAGCAGTTGCAGAGGAGTAAAGCAGTTACTTTGCTGTTTTAGGAAGATAACTAGTAACAGTATAGGGGGATGCTTAGGAAAGCATGAATTTGGAACCAGGGAACTGAGATTGTGGAAAGCCTGAAAAAATTCTGTGGCAATAAGATAGAAAGGAGACTTATCCAGGCAGTATTTCAGATTTAGGAGTGCCTAAATTTGGTGGTTGGATTTGGAGAGATTGGCATTAAAGGTGATTCTGGGATTTTAGGCTAAGAATAGACTTAGGTGTTTATTGTTAACCAAAATTCAGAATGCAGGAACAGAAACAGATTTTGGTTGAACTGAGCTGTTAAGGGTTCTGTTTTCATAAACAAACCCTCAGAACATAGCTTACTGCTGTACGGGTACTGAGGGTTTGGGTTCTGAGGTACGTTAGTAGATGCCCACTCCTTTTTTTTTTTTCTTAAAGCCTATGTGTGATGCTATCCTGGTGAGCTAGCCTGGACATTGTAGAAAGCTCAAAGGCTCTCTTTTTTTCTGAGACAGAGTCTCACTTTGTCGCCCTCGGCACTCCGTCACAGGTCACAGCAATCTCAGACTTCTGGGCTTAAGTGATTCTCTTGCCTCAGCCTCCTGAGCAGCTGGGTCTACAGGCACCCGCTACAATACCCAGCTATTTTTAGATGAGATCTTGCTATGGCTCAGGCTGGTCTCGAACCCATGACCTCAGGCAATCTACCCACCTCGGCTTCCCAGAGTGCTAGGATTATAGGCACGAGCTAGTGCGCCCGGCCCTCAAAATCTCTCTTGACTTTTAAAACAAAAATGTTTACCTTTTAGAAATTTATGGTAATACTATAGCGTATTTGGAAATAGTGAGAATAATTAAAATTGAAACCTCTGTGTATCCGTTACCCTGCTTCAACAATTAACACGGTCCATTTTTGTTGTATCTCTGCTTTTGCTTCCTCCTGATTATTTTTAAGTGGATTGCAGACTATCATTTCAGTGAGTTTTTTATCTTCTCCTTTTAAAGGTTTAGCCATAGTCATGTTTAAGTTGTCATATTCCTGGATCCCACATTTCTTTTTAGTCACAGTTACACTTAAGTTGTCATATTCCTGAACTTCAGATTTTTTCTTTCAAGAGTCAAAAGCCCGACTTGGTGCCCATAGCACAGTGTTCGGCGCCAGCCACATACACCAGGGCTGACTGGTTCAAAACCGGCCCAGGCCAGCTAAACAACAATGACAACTGCAATAAAAAATAGCCGGGCATTGTCGCAGGCGCCTGTGGTCCCAGCTACTTGGGAGGC